CCTTTCCCCTTTCCAGAGCCGGGCGGGAGGGAGACCCTGAGGGTGGGGGCACCCTCAGGGCACTATAGTGCCAGGAAAACGAGTATGTTTTCCTGGCACTATAGTGGTCCTTTAAATAAAGTTTAGCAGTTACCAGACAATGAGAATTGTCAGAAATTAAAAATGTTCAATTCAGCAATTTTGGTGTTAATTTTGATATTTGCTTTGAATTCCTGACAATTCTTACTTTGGTAAATAACCCTGTAAGATTTGAGAATCTGTGTGTTAATACCACAAGCACTTATATAATTGTAGTAAAAGGTTTTTTTCTGCTTACGCCGACATCATGGATACCTTTATAGGCAAATATATATTCACCTTTGAAAGGCTCTGCAAGCCAATTTTTCACAAATTGCTCCTGAGTGGCAACTTCTGACCACATGATGGCACTGTGGAGCATATAAACAATGCTTTAGCAATAGCAACATCTTCTAACATAGCAACTAATTTAGGGGTTATTGACTAGACTGTTTTTTTGTCGGATGGAGAAAAATCATGTGAAAATGTCCGAATACCAACTGCAATGGCAATTTTCATATTTTGCTAAAGAAACATACAATCAGAATTCAATCGGGCCAGGAGGGAATCTGCACCAATCGACTGGATACATTCTGTGCCCGAATCCAAAACGGTGCTTTCGCATCTGAATCCTGTACAAAGTATAGAATTCAGAATATTCCCAAACTGTTGTTTGTTTTTTTTGCAAGTGAATCATCATTTTAGAAACGGTTTGCCTGCTAGAAGCACAAGCAAAATTCAGCAATGTTACAAACCCTTAGCAATGCGAGGGTTAATTATGTGGCAGCTAGCCAGGGGTTCGAAGCCAATTAAAAAAAAAGAAGTTAAAAATGAATATATAAATACACAAATAAAAAAAATCTATGGGGGTCAGTAAGGCTCCCGTATTACTATAAGGGAGGTTTAAAAGCTCCCTATCCCCTAAACCTGGCATATCTAATAAGGGCCGGCCTTAGGCAATTAGGTGCCCTGTGCGAAAAGTCTTCACGGCGCCCCACCCCCCACCAAGTCACCTGAATACAGTAACACACTCAGGGACCAGTGTATCGCGAGGCAAACAAGGCATTTGCCTTGGGAAGCACTTTGCAGGGGGCGGCAAAAAAAGCCGCCCCCAAACGTCCAGGCAGATCTCTTGCTCCCAGGGAGGCTGAGTGGATTTAAAATAAAATTAAAAAAATATTAGTTTGTGAGTGTTAGTGGAAATGTCTGTGTGTGTGTGTGTGTGTCTGTCTAAGTGAATGTGTGTGTGTGTCTGTAAGTGTTTATGTGTGTGTGTGTCTGTGAGTGAATGTGTGTGTCGGTCAGTGAGTGTGTATGTGTCGGTCAGTGAGTGCGTGCATCTGTCACTGAGAGTGTGCATCTGTCAGTGTGTGTCCAAGTAATAGTGTGTGTGTATGTTTTTTTTGGGCAATGTATATGAGAGTGTGCGTCTGTCAGTGAGTGTGCGTCTGTCAGTGAGTGAGCATCTGTCAATCAAAGTGCGGCCTTGACAGATGCTCACTCACTCGGTTACAGGCATGTACACACACACACTCAATTAAAGACAGTCACACATACAGGCACAGGCACACACAATGGCACAGCTACAGCGACACACACAATTAGAGTCACACACAGACAGTCACACAAACACAGGCAGTCACATACACAGACAGTCACACACACACACACACACACACACACACACAGGCAGGCATTCACACAGACAAACAGTCACACACACACAGACAGTTACACACAGACACAGGCAGTCACACACACACACTGGCAGTCAGTCACACAGACAGTCACACACAGGCAGACAGTCACACAAACAGGCAAACAGTCACACACACACTTACCTCTTTCCAGTGGATGCAGTTGGCTGATGGGGAAGCAGGGACTCCTTCCTTTTTCCTGTGCAGCAGGGGCTTCGGGAGGTATTAGCCCCTCCTCCGCCTCGCGATAAGCCCGCCCCTGCCGCTCAGTAAGCCCGCCCCCTATGCCGCATTTTTTTTTTTAAATAGACCCGGGTGGAGAATAATTAATCCTCCACCCGGTACCTGTTTTAGCTCCCCTGACACCGGCCATGTGCGAGCTGTGTTGGCCATGGTGCCTGTGCAGCCGCACACCTCGCACACCCCTAAGGCCGGCCGTGTCTCTAATAAAACTGTAAAACTAGCGACAGCCATTGCTGTGAAATAACAGGGGGCCAGTGTTCTATCAAATTTCTCTACCCGTGATAATCCCCTACCCTTGTCACTTCCGGTGAGGGGAATCAGATGGATCCTGTGCTGCAAATGCGTGCTAGCAGTCCTGCTACTCCTCCACAGCAAGGTCCTGGAAGGTAAGTAAAACTGGTTTTACACTTTCATTATAGTTAGTGCATTCACTAAGCTTAGGACATGGGACATTTAGGGTTAATGTCGGGTCGAAACGTTGATGTGAGTTATTAACACTGGATTAAATACCTTTTTTGAAAATCCAAGGGAGTGCTCCTGATTGATTGCATATATATATATATATATATATATATATATATAAAAATATATATATTTATAAATATATTTATATTACAGGTCTTCATTTTATTGCCTCCTTTCACTAGAATTACGGTAAAGGGGGGTAGGTAGGGATATTTATTTTAAATGGGGTTGGCTAGTAGATTGGGGACCCATAGTCACTAGAAGGAGTGGAAGGGGGGGAGGGGCATGCCACCAACTGGGGTGAAATTACATGTTCATCTCCCACTATTTCATTATTTAGAGTCTTCACCCTCCGCCCATGGGTCGGAACTGTGGGATGATACACTAGGTCCTCCACCCCTTTAATATTATTATTAGGACAACCACCCGCTGCCAATGTGTCAGGCCAGTCCTCAACATTAGCTCCTCCCCTTCAGTATAATTATTAGGGCCCACATTTGATTTGACAAAAGTGGGGGAACAGCACCCTATTAATTATTTTCACCATAGCTACTACAATGATACTTAGCGGTCCTCCTTTCAAATATGATTTATTTTGATAGCCTTATTATTATTGTGGCATATTAGTAAGTCTTTGTTACATCTTTTGGTTGTCATTAATACAGGACTCAATTTAATAGAATTTCCAAATGATTCAATACTGTTTGAAAAACGTTCCAAATGATTTAAAGGGACACTTTAGGCACCCAGACCACTTCAGCTCATTGAAGTGATCTGGATGCAGTGCCCCTGTCCCCTTAACCCTGCAATTGTAATTATTGCAATTTCTGAGGAACTGCAATAATTATCTTGGAGGATTAAAACTGCGTCTAGTGGATGTCAATCAGATATCTGCACAACCTCAGCACTGGAATCGGTAAATACAGTAAGGATTTTTTTCATTCTTATGTTTCGGGGGAGGTGGTGGGGGCGTACGAGGTAGAGGCGCCTGGGAGCTATAGTGCTAGATATACAACTTCGCATTTCTAGCACTATAGTATCCCTTTAACTATAAAAAAAATCCCTTAGACTATCATGGTGACTTCTGCAGATGAATCATTTAGAAAGTTTTTCCAACAGCATTGAATCATTGTTGACAAGCTAGATATCATATAGACAATCATAAATGAGTCAATTAATGATAAAACAAAGACAATAACACTTTATCAATTTCCGTGTTAATATATATATATTTTATTATTGATTTACATTTCAACTTTAGCTTTTCATGTTTGTTTTTTTAGTACATTATCTAGTCAACACATTTAACCTTTTAGTAGATGTTTGTCTTTCTTACTGGCACAGCAATGCCCCATGGATTTTTCAAAGCAATCTCTATAAAAGCGATTGCTATGTTCTTATTAAATTTGCATTCTGCCTGGCTGGACTTCTGGATGTCCTTAATGGCTCATCAACGTGAGAAATGATTGTTAATAGCACATTTGTTATGAAATGTGCCTTAGACTTTCTAAAGCTTGAGGGAGCCATGTTGTTATTAATGTTATCCCACAGATGTCAGTGTTTTAAAAGGGAAGATTGGCTGAGGATTTGTCAGTATGGCAAGTCACCTGCCTACACAAGAGTGTCAAAGCATTAATTCAATTATTTGAGGATACATTTTATGTCTTTAATGAGCAGCCACATATTTTATCTTTCATTTAATGAAAGCTATCTGCAAGATACTGTTGTAAATTAGAGCCTCTGGGCTTTACTGTTCCTTTTTGTGATTCCTTCCTCAAAATCTGTGTTACAAGCTAATTTTCTTGCCCCAGGTTCATGGCAGCAGAGTTAATGTTCCAAAAGATGGACTACACGTGGATTAGAAATGATTCTGGAAGCACTTCAGTGAAGGGTGACCATATTGCTGATCTTTTGTGGGACTTAAAAAAAAAAAAAAGTATCTTCTAAGTATGTCTTAGATACAAACTGCTATGATCACATTATCGCTGATGTATGTGTATTTTTTTAACATACCTTCTTCAGTCTTTGTTAATAATAAAAATCCACAAGATCTTCCGCAGGTTTGACCTATTAGAGCACTTCTTGGCACCCTGTTATGAGCCTGCATGAGCATTATGGGACATTTAAATCGTAATTAACAATGATGCCAAAGTTATTCAGCGAAGTTCCAGAGTGCTTCTCATTCTTCCAATGGAAGAGTTGTAGTCCTGGGCAAAATTGGGCAAAGGGTGTGGTTTCCGTCATGTAAATATTCTAGGGCAATATAGAGGGAGCAAAAACGCAATATAAAACTTGGAGCCCTTAGTCGAAGGGAAGAACATCCAAAGCGACACTGAGCCCTGCATACTATTTATAAATATTACCTTCCCATGGGACTAAAGGGTAAAAATATTGATTGGCTATAGTCTGGTTTTTAAGTCTTCAAAGCTCACACGGTGAAGGAGGTGGTAGTCACAGACCTTCCTTAGTTAGTAAGGGCTGAACTTCAGAGGGAAATACTGTATTCTCCATTTATCGGAAATGGCAATAGGCCCTATTCAGTGAACGTGGCCAGAATTCCAGCTATACACCATGCGTGTTTCGTAGTGCTTGTTTACTAAATGAAGCTGTATAGAATATAAGGGGATGGTACATAAGAAGCTCCTGTTTATGGACAGTAAATATATCAATCTAGGGCAGGGGTAGGCAACCTATGGCACGCATGCCATGCACGGTCTTCAAGGCTGCCAGAGTCAAACAGGCTCTGGCTTATTAGGAATCCCAGTGAAACTTCAGATTTCTCAGCCAATGGTAAAAAAATCCATGTGTCATCTGTGATTATGGTGCTTTGAGTGTCCCTTTAATCGAACGTAATTAAAGGGATACTCAATAATAATAATAATCCTTACGGTGCTCATTGATAAATCAGTTATCTTTAATCTATGTAACGTACTATGGGTAATGGCATTACACATGAAAAATAAAATAAATCTGTTTTTAAAGTGTTTTATTACAGCTATAGTTGTATAATGCAATGTATAAAGATTGTTCTACATTTATCAAAATAGTGAACAACAAATCATTGTTGCTTGATATAGATGTAATTATAAGTAAAATAAAAATAAAATAATGTTAAACATATAAAAGAAAACCCAAGCTTTATTTAATTTGTTCTATTTATAAATAATAATAATAATAATGATTTTCTTAATTTTATATTAAAATATTACATATTTATTTCTTGAGACTCAAGTTGATGGAAAGCAGACTTTTATAAACTTACCTTCGGAAGCAGATGGACAAAAGGAAACTTAGTTTATCCAAGAAAATGAAACAATTATAGAGATGAACTGAAATGTACTCTGTGACCGCATGTCATAATGGGTAGATTGAATGGAACGGATCTACTGGAAAACATCTTTAAGTAGGGCCTTTTGAACTTCCAGTGTCCTTTAATGGTAACCTCTAAAATCAGTTAGTTTAGTGCTTACACATAATCCTGTAAATATTAAACTCGTGCATAGCAGGAAAGTTCAGACTGCCCTGGACAGTTTTTACGAAATTGAAATTTTGTTTGGAATGTCCAGCACTAATTTATCTGATGGTTTGGCCGAATATTGCCCTTAAGTATTGTAAGTAGGTATATTCTGCGTATTATTACTGTGATGTTCTTTGTACTTTTTTGGACTCCTAATAAAAATATTCAATAGAAAAAAGTATCCAATCAAGTTAAAAATCTGCATTACATTGTGTGCAGGAATTGCTTGCACAATAATGAACTAAATTTGATAATAAAAATTATTTCTAGAAAAATTAAATTATATATATATATATATATTTTTATATTTATATATATATATAAAAATCCAATATCCCCCGCACTCAGGCTTAGTAGATTTCCAATTTGCCGGGTGCCATAGCCTGGACTCCAATAGTACAGTGTGCCAAAGAATAGCTGTTCACCGGTCTTTAAAAACTCCAATACTTTATTTAGTTCAAGTTAAAATAAGAGACCAAAGTTTCAGTCCCTGCTCGGGACTTTCCTCAGGGTAACAAGACAACACTGTTGTCTTGTTACCCTGAGGAAAGTCCTGAGCAGGGACTGAAACTTTGGTCTCTTATTTTAACTTGAACTAAACACACACATATACATATACACATACATACACACAAACATATATACACACACAAAATAATGAAAAATCCTTGCACTCAGGCTATAATGGTAGAGTATACTTGCCGGGTGCTTAACCTGGGACTTTGAATATCCAGTGAAAAATAGTAATGGTAGCACTCACGGTCTTCAGTTAAAAATCTTCTTTATTCAATGAGAATTAAAATATAAGGTCTAAGATCAACGTTTCAGTCCTCTCTCAGGACTTTCATCAAGAATATATATATATATATATATATTTTAGATGTTTTTACTGGATACATGAATCAATTTGTATCATATTCACAAATACATTATCACAATAAAAAAAATCAAAAAAAAAATCACCCTTTAGTGAATGTCTCCTTGCCATAAATCATCTCATTTTTGGCGGATCGCAGAATACCGCATGAAACGAACACGTTCAGCCATCATGCTAGTTGTTTACTCTGATGTACATCCATATAACGCTTCAGAGTTATGGAGCAGCCAAATGCACAAGTCTAGTAAATGTTTACAGGATGAGAAAAACATTGCCAACAGAGTCACATAGGTGTATTTTGGCACACAATACAATGCCGTAGGAGCCATTTAAAATATATACCAGTAAAGTAATTTTTTGCAAATTCAAGAAAATAATTAGTGTACCTTACCCGCCTACTAGTAAAGTCCTTGTCCCAAAGTGGCCTATAAATGTATAAAGCTGGATTGCTACAATGGATGTGATCATTTGTGTATAAAGCTTTCTGTGTCCAATTGATGAGAAAGCCATGAATAGTGCATGTTGGTGGATATATGAAGATGGCCTTCAGATCAGTTTATCTTTTTAACCTAAGCATTTACTAGTGATGTTGTTAACTCAATATATCAATGAGGGATCACATCACACACTGACCTGCTGATACGTCTTGAATAAAAAAAATAAAAAAATAATACCAAGCTGATTTGACCCAAATCTAATTTATTTTGAAGCATTTCCTAATCATCGTTGAGCCATTTACTATACCACAATACCTAGCCTCCCAATTATTATTTTAATCAGCAATAGTGTATTGAAAATATTGCTACCTGATTTTTGTTTTCTATCTGCAAAAATAAGTCTAAATGTTAGAGTATGAAAAGAACAATGCACCGCATACACATCCGCCATTGTGTAGTTTCTCATCGAATTATCTATTATACTCTCCTTCCAGGGTCGCTATTGAAATAGTACTCTCTCCATTATTCAGAAACTAGAAATATGATCTGATTATTTGCAAATATAAAAAAACAAACAAAAAAAAAAAAAAACTAGTCCGGTGGTGCAGAACATCAAAATGTTTTTTATGCTTTGTTTAAATGAGATTGGTAGTCCAAGTCTTATTTTTGTAAAAACCACTAACAATGGACAATGGCGGTGGTAGTTGGACAGTTGCATCCCCACATTAATAATTCCTGACTTTACCACCCCATATATAAGCAAATATGTAATTCATCAGCATTAGAGTCCCAATATAATGTCTGCAGAAAACGTTCTTCCTTATTACACCACTGTGTGATCTACAATCAATGTTAGATTGAGACACTAGCATGCACTTCAGTTCCTATTAAAGCTCTTTGATTTTTTGGACTTGAATATGGATTTCAAGAGATACTCTGTTTTACGTTTGCAAACAGAACCAACATTATGCATTGGTTCCTGAACAAAAATATATCTGCGAGGATTTGTTTCCTAGCAATAGATTAAGATAACGGATCTTGTGATAATTGAAAGCCGTGACAATGACTCATTATTTAAGGTGCAATGCTATTATTTGCAGAGGTGGTGACGACAAAGTTCAAATATATATATATATATAAAAAGTTGTTTTACCTAAGCTAGAATTGAATTTAAACGTTTGTTACAAATACCTGTAGTATTTTTCTTCACTTACTGAACCCCAAAACATATCACTCGATGTACCTTAGGGGACTAGACATACGCTTGCCAAGTTACAAACACTTTGTTGCTAACTTGCACTCTCTTACGGGAAGTAGTCATTTTGGTAAAAAAATCTATAAGTTGATATTGACTAAAGGAAGACAGACAAAGTTATTTTTGCAATCAGGTCATGCTGTGTGGTTTGGTTACATTTCAGTTAGCTCCGACTTGTAACCAACTTGAAGAACTAAATCAATATAATGATATCTGTTCCAATACTTCTGATTTTGTACAGCAGTGGTTGCCAAACCAGTCCTTATTGTCCACCAGCAATCCAGAATTAATGTATTTCCCTGTTTAATTCCAATGGAGATACTGGCAAAACTTGGACTGTTGGTGGGTCTTGAGGACTGGTTTGGGAAACACTGTCGTACAGTGTAGAGTCACCCTTACGGCTGTATGTACCTGGACAGTAATATAATGCAACGCAATGCAATATGATTAGATGTTAACACTGGGGCCATCCGTATGCCATCTACGTGAGTTGCTGAGTCCATTGGAACTTTGCAGGATTTAGTGAGGCTGAGTTTTCTCTGAGTTTCAGAGTCTGTCAGAGTTTTTATACTCTTTTTAGAGACCTATTGCTAAAGATGCAAAATGAACAAAGTGTGGCTTTATCTGCTATAGAGGATATTACATCCTTATCAGAGACAGATTGAGATAGAAAAAAAAAATACATCTATCTTTCTTTGAAAAGTCATTGCTTGGTTTTGATATTACGTTGCCCTTTAATATTTTAGGGCTTCCCAAGACATGATTGATTATTGACATTACGTTGTTAGATCACATTCGTTTCTGTATGCATTGTATTATCACCTTTATACTTCATTCACACACAGTGACAGAACATGATTGCCAGAGCTTCATTATTTAAGGAAATGCGCACCAATATGTTACATTCTTTCTTCAGTAATGTGACTGCCACTGACTTTAGTTAGCATCAGGACACATGCATGGGCTTCCTTCACTAAACAGTGAGTTATTGTGAATTAATAACAAAAATAAAAATAAAAACTTGGGAGAATAATTTTGTTAGAGGTTTATAGTTGTCCATAGGAGTGTGCAACTATTATGCCAGGTGTCATGAGGCACCTCATAATGTAGGACTGATTTGTTCCCCATTTAAACAGAAACTATAAGGCGGCACAGATGTCCCTCTCCTGCCAGTCACAGTGCTGCTCTCCTGCCAGTCACTTCTTGTAGCATGGCCGAATGCCTGTACCTCGGCTACCCTGCGCCGAGTGGTTTTATAAGGTGGAGGGGAGCCAGCGAGGATGCTCAGAACTATATCAGTATTGCCTTACAGCTCCCTTGCACACCATGTAGATGAACTGGTAGACGGAATGTGACATCAATCCAGCACAGGCACCACTACCAGGAGGGAGTTGTAAGGCAATGCTGATATAGTTCTGAGCTCTCTCAGAGGAGAGAGCTAAATGTAAGGAGACGTGGTAGATTTAAAAAAATAAAACAAATGTGTGTGTGTGTGTGTGTGTGATTGTGTCTAAGCCTCACTCCCCCACAATACTAATCCTATCCCCCACAATACTGCTCATATCCCCCACAATAATGCTCCTACCCCACCACAATACTGCCCTTAACCCCACAATACTGCTGCTTCTCCACCACAATACTGCCCTTACCCCACCCTCCAACAATACTGCTCCTATCCCCCCACAATACTGCTCCTATTCCCCCACAATATTGCCCCTGTCCCTACACTAAATAATCAATCCACCACAATATGGCCCCTGTCCCCATCACAATAAAGCCCCAATCCCCTACAATACTGCCCGTATTCCCCCACAATACTGCCTCTACTTCCCAATACTGCCCTTACATGCCCCACTA